TTAATGTTATTCAATCTTTCATTTCAGTTATTTATACGGCTCATGATCATATCACATGGTACGGACCACTAACACAACACACAGTAATAAAAAAAAACAAAGCAGCAAAATCAAACAGAAGGATAAAAAGGTATCTAATTTACAAACAACTTTTGGTTTATCTGATTGTAACAACAAAATAACTTCTACATAGATGGACGGTTCACATTGGCAGATATGTTTCTGTGTAGATCATTACACTCACATTCTTACATTCAAACAAGATGTGAGACTCGTCACCAAAACGAGCGTCCTCACTAAAGTTAGAAACTTCCCTGGTTATCTATCAAACTCTGTTATCATTGTCTGGCTTCCTGGATGATCCTGATCCTCAAAGATTACATCATTCAAGTCTAAATACACAAGGCAGGTGAAACTGGGAATGGCTCATTCAATGAATTATGGTTAAAATCCTTTATCATTAATCAATTAATCAAGCATCATGAGACAAAAAATAAAATAATGTCAAAGCAAAAAATAAAATAATGTCAAAGCTTCCTTTGTTCACTGTTTTTTGCACCAATACACAAAGACAAATTCCTTATGTGTGTAAGAGCACTTGGCAATAAAAAATGATTCTGATTCTGATTCACTTCTGTGTTTTGTGTCTGTTGCAGCAGGACTCACATAAAGGGTAAGTTTTGATTTATTTATGTTCAGTTTGATGTCTTCTTCCTGCTCTCTCTACATATTTTTTTATATTTGTGTTGATTTTGTGCTTTGGAACATAATGAATTTTTCAGTTGTCATTTGGTTCAGTTGTAAAATATTATTTATCTTTGTTTCAACATTTTACGATGGAGGATTAGGGCCACGTTATTATTATTTTTTTTTAATTTTGACATTAAAGTAATAAATTAACGAGAATAAAGTACTAAATTTAAGAGATTAAACTCATAAATTAATGAGTTTGAGACCAGTCTACGCAAAATGATGAAAGTAGAACGCTTAATCTTTTCCTCTGCAGACAACTTCCTCCAAGTCAGTGTGGTTCTTTCTTCAGTTTATTGCAATATTTTTTCAGGGTGCTGATATTTTATGACAATGTGAAGATGATGATGTGCCAAAAGCATGTGTAGTTTCATATCGGCATAAGTAAAGCCCCAACACAACTATTTGTGTCTGTTATCGGTCTGCCTTGTTAAAGTGTCTCATGTGCAGAGCCAGTTTGTGTCCTGTTCATCATTTTACAGATAAACAAGGTCTTGAAGTTGAAGTGAAAACTTCTCTTGAACTGTTTTTACCGACTACACAAGGAAGTAACCTATTTCCTTATTAGTGAAACCTTTAGGACAAGATGCTCCATGTTTGTCATTTGAGAACAGGATGCTGCTGCTCTTCTGATATAGATTAAAAATAACGACTTTATTCGTTTATTTTATTTATTCAAGACATTAAAAGTTGTACTTTCATCATTTTCGTGCAGGCTGGTCTTGAACTCGTTAATTTACGAGAACAAAGTCATACATTTACGGGTTTAATCTTGTAAATTTACGACTGTAATCTGGAAAAAAAAAATAATAATGTTTTCAACGTGGCCCTAATCCTCCGTCGTAACATTCAGTCATCTTTTTTTTTTTTATAACCTTCGCTGTCCGAGGTGCTGAAATGATCCCTGCTGCAGCATGTTGTGTCATTTGTTTAGAAACAGAATAAAAACAGTAATAATAGAATAGAATAGAGTTACTTTATTGATCCCAAACTGGGAAATTGTGGCGTCACAGCAGCAGGTTATCAAACACACAATATTAGCAAATAAACACAATATAATATTAAATACAAAGTAAATAAGCACTAAAATATCAAAACTAAGAATGTGAATATATACAACCAGGATTTAACTTAACATTACTTCTAGTCTTAAATATGAAAATATTAAATACAACATACTGCTGGAGATAAATGTGAATGTGCAAAAACAGAGTTGTAAATGAACAGTATTGACATAGGGAGCTGTCCAGAGCTGTGCAATCAGTGAGAATCTTCCTTCATTTTGGTGTGAATAATTTCAATCCAAGATGTTGGATGTTTTCTTCACCTCCTGGTCCATGTGGAGCTCAGTCAGTCTAACAGGAGTCACGCTGTCCCTGATTCCTGCTGCTGATCAGAGGGGGGCGCTAATGATTCATGAGATTTTGTGTTTGAAATACTTGAGCGAGGAAGAAGAAAGCAGCTCTCTGACTTCAATGAGGTTCTCAGAGACTAGATTTAGAAAAATGTGAACGCTAGCTCGGAATCAATCAGATCTCAACTGCTGAACTGCTAACATGTCTGGAAGAGGAAAGGGAGGTAAAGGACTCGGTAAAGGAGGCGCTAAGCGTCACCGTAAAGTTTCTCCGTGATAACATCCAGGGAATCACCAAGCCCGCTATCCGCCGTCTGGCTCGTCGTGGTGGAGTCAAACGTATCTCTGGTCTCATCTACGAGGAGACCCGTGGTGTGTTGAAGGTGTTCCTGGAGAACGTTATCCGTGATGCCGTCACCTACACCGAGCATGCAAAGAGGAAGACCGTCACTGCCATGGATGTGGTTTACGCCCTGAAGAGACAGGGACGCACTCTGTACGGCTTCGGAGGTTAAACCTGATCCTGACCCACTCACACTGAAACCCAAAGGCTCTTTTAAGAGCCATACAATTCATCTTAAGAGATTTTCCATATTTACTAGATAATGTTGAAAATAGAACGATGTGAACCTAATATCATAAACCATAAAAGGGAAAAAATCTCACCTTAAATAAACTGAGTTTAAAATTAGTGCATGTACGATTAATCAATTTAAACTAATAACCCACACACCCATGTCTTTATCTCTCATCCATTTGCCACGTTAGACGTTTTGAGTACTAGAAAATACTCTCTGCAACATCTCTCATGCCCATAAAGGAGAAATACAACATGACTTTAAAGCACCCTTAAATGTCTTATCTAACGATTTAGCTGACTTGGAATTACTTAAATTATTGTATAGAAACAATTATTGACATAATACATCCAGATAGCAGAGACAAAAGCTTTTTTCCATTATACAGCTGATGACGGTTAGCTTTATGTATATATATATTCAGAAATTTCAACATCTTTGTATCTTCTTGTCAATGAACACTCAGTCATTAGGTGAATACAACTTGTGAATCAATTTGAGAAAATTGATATTTTAAGACCAGAACTTTTAACAAACATGTTTAAGTTGAGAAAATTATTGATTAAGCCTGATTTCATTATTTCCGTTCAACCCTTAATTTAATGTATAATGATTAGACATAACCAAGGCTGGGACTTGTAATCTTTCCTGGATTTTTACGGTGACAACTACACAACATCTTTCTCACATTTGACCTCTGTCTAACATCAATGAATGTGAATAATAATAAAAAGGTATAGTGAGTCATCCCACTTAAAATATGAATTATCTTGTGACAAAAATGAATATCTCGATAATAAATTAATGGCCCACATATGCAGATATTATCGATTATTGATGTAATAGGACATTCAGGATTTCAGCTCTCAGAAAGTGTGGTGTGGCCCTTAAAAGGACCGTTTTGTTGCTGGTTATCAGCGGGTTTACTTGGAGCTGGTGTACTTGGTCACAGCCTTGGTGCCCTCAGACACGGCGTGTTTAGCCAGCTCACCGGGCAGCAGCAGGCGGACAGCGGTCTGGATCTCCCTGGAGGTGATGGTGGAGCGCTTGTTGTATTGAGCCAGACGGGAGGACTCCCCGGCGATGCGCTCAAAGATGTCGCTCACGAACGAGTTCATGATGCCCATAGCCTTGGAGGAGATACCGGTGTCGGGGTGGACCTGCTTCAGGACTTTGTAGACGTAGATGGCATAGCTCTCCTTCCTGGACTTTCTCCTCTTCTTTCCGGTCTTGGTGGCCTTAGAGACGGCTTTCTTTGAGCCCTTCTTGGGCGCTTTCACGGTTTCAGGCATGTTTTCTGAGCGGTGATCTCAAAAACTGATACTGAACTGAGTGTCAGAAAGCAGTATATATGTGGTGTTGAAGCAAACGCCATGTGCTGTTGCTCTCACAGGATTGGCTGAGTGACCCACTGAGCAATTCTTAGCTTTCAGTCATGTGACCGGCGCTGAGGTCTGAGGTCCTTTAGTGTTTAGAAAGTAGCGACCACCGTTGATCACTCCGAGGAGCTGCAGCACGAGCTGTTTAATAAACAAAATACAAATTAGACAGCATTAACATTTACCCCCTTCAAATAAATATTGAATCAGGTTTACAGTATTTATAGTTTTCTTATTGTTAATTAGATTTAAAAGTGTAAAATCATTTTACATGCAGTGATGATGAATACTGTGAAGCGTACGTGAGATTTATTTAATTTGGATCCAGGATTTGAAATTGACCATTGATCATTTATACTATAAAGAGGTTAATTGTCTGTTGAAATGTTGGTTTTTATTTAGAATAAAATGAATTCTTAAGGAAACCAAATTAATTGAACTATTCATTTGATTGTCAGTAAAATCCTCCAGATTCTCCAGAACAGCCTGGTTACTGAGTATTCATAATAAGAAGTGTTTTATTTTGTCTCCTTCAGTTAGAAGCTGTTGATGACATGTAGACAGTTTCTGTAATTTGGATTCATCATGATATCATGTTCCAAACCCATTGCAAACTAAACTCTAACACTCATTTTTAAAATACAATAATACACAAACACAACACACCATGTCCACCAAGACACTAACACATGTTGTCTTCCAACAGGACATTGCACAATGTCATAAAAACACTAACATCAGATGGAATAACAGAAACTGCATGACTTCACACGTGTCAGGTCTGCCCTTATAGACAGTACATTACAACATATTGATCATAGATTGTGTTTTCTCTTGAAGCCTCTCTACATTTCTGTTTTGTTGGGTTTAGTAAACACATGTATTTTGTTCATTTTGCTGCAGGAATTCAAAACAAAAAAGGAATGACCCATATCGTAGTAGCTTTATATAATGTACAGTTTATGAAAAAAAGAAACCAGATACAGAAATCACCATGCTGATAATGGCAAGTTCCTGTTCCTCATTTAGGGGCTTTCCTCTGCCCCTGAGGGAGGTAGACGTTGAATCCTTAGAGAGACAAAATACAGTTACATATTAGAAACCGGAGGATTATATTTACAGTAAAACATGGTAAATGATTTACACTTTGCAGTAGGAGAAGCAAATTATAAAATATCCTACCTGTTGATTTGTTGAAAAATCTGGACAATGGATACCACTGTGTCCCGGCTGAGATTTGGCTGTCCTCGTTCACCAGCCACTCTGTATGATAGCCCGTGCTTTATGACATGGTCTATGATAGAAGCTTTTATTTCATCAGTTACCCCACCATGCATTCTAACTCCTCTACCGCTACCTTCTCCTCATCCAGGCTTTCCTCTCCCTTGTCCTGGTACTTGTCTTTCTCTCCTTCATGCAGGTATTTTTCTTACTTTCTTTGTGTTGCTCTATATTGTTTCTTTTCCACACAAGATCAGCCCAGAGAGGTCATTTTTTTTAACTCTATACACCTGAGTGTGTTTCCTATGTGGGAATCAGTTGAGATTGATCTATTAGCATAACTTAAATCAGCTGTTTCTCAGGAGCATTGGGAATAAATACAGGGGATATATTTGTGTTTCAATCTACAATAAAAACAACAAAATCCATTGTTCTGGCCTTGGTTGTTGTAATGTTGTGCTAACTGTGTAAAGAGTTTAGGAAAATTGTTAGAAGTATTGAAAAAATGTCATAGCAAACACTGTAAAATACTCTCACAATTATAAAATAGGTTTGTTCAGTCAGACTCACTGTATCTTACTTTTAATCATCCTGCACCACTTCATCCTTCTTTTCTGATTTATTAAACATGGACATAAGCAATGAGCTCATTCAATGAGAAAAAATGTATCTGTTATTGTTCATTTTGTTTCATTTTCACACTTTAATGTTCAGGATGTCTGACTGTCATCAGAACAATCTGCTCAGAATACCTCCGACATGTATTTGAATAATCACATTCACCTCCACTTAAGTCGTCCCTAGACTTTAAATTAATATTCATTCTTTATCTAACAGGGACACAATGAATATGTCATTGTTCATTTTTATGAAGCATTAGGCCGCCCTCTGACCAGCAGCTGCAGTGTGACTCCTGTTAGACTGACTGAGCTCCACATTGACCAGGAGGTGAAGAAAACATTCAACATCTTGAAATCATTCACACTGAGATGAAGGAAGATTATTACTCTTTTTATTCTGTTTCTAATCAAATGACACAACATGCTGCAGCAGAGATCATTTCAGCACCTTGGACAGCGTGTTTCCTCAGTCATCAATCACTTTTTTTAACTAGATTTGTTTTTTTTTTTAAAATTGTTTTTTGTTTGTTTTTGTTTGTTTACAGTATCCTTTAATCTACAGGCTATAACTAAAGTTAGTATTTTATCATCAGTAAAATGATATGGATCTGTATGAGGAGCATCCTGTAGCATCTTAACCATCTTTATGAATCACTGTTATATTTATTCCAAGTGGTCGTCAGTGAACCCGTTTGTGATCCAAAAGACCCGTAGAAGTAATTGTGTCAACTTCAATGTTTTTATGGGACTCAATTATTTATTGTAAAAAAATTTAAAAAGTCTATAATGAAGTGATTCCTGAGTTCATAGTGTGTGCTGGTGATTTACTGAAGTTCTTTTAGCTGAACGATGATTCTAGAAATCTGCACATGTCAAGAAACATGAGATTAAATATTGACAATGTCTCTTTATGAGATAATACATACTAAATATAAATGTGTACTGTTTATCTAACTGACAAACTCTGGTGATAAATTTGAATAACTCCTCGAAGTGGATAACAAATTAAAAATAACATACATGTAGTGTGTGTTATGTTGATAACTTTGTAGTATGTCTGTGCTCTACATCTATGTTTTCTATATACATGATTTATGACTGCATTGTAATATTATTGAGGTTGCAGTACTGTCAGACAGAAATAGTTAACATGGGAATAGAATGAAATAATAAACTGATCATCTCTATACATTAAAGACAGTACAGGAATATGTCTTAATTAAAAAGTGGTGGCTCTTAAAAGAGCCGTTGTGGTTGTTTTGGAGCAGTAGACAGATTAAGCTCTCTCTCCGCGGATCCTTCTGGCCAGCTGGATGTCTTTGGGCATGATGGTGACCCTCTTGGCGTGGATGGCGCAGAGGTTGGTGTCCTCGAAGAGACCGACCAGGTAAGCCTCGCTGGCCTCCTGCAGAGCCATGACAGCGGAGCTCTGGAAGCGCAGGTCGGTCTTGAAGTCCTGAGCGATCTCACGGACCAGACGCTGGAAGGGCAGCTTGCGGATGAGCAGCTCGGTGGATTTCTGGTAACGACGGATCTCTCTGAGAGCCACGGTACCGGGCCTGTAACGATGGGGCTTCTTGACGCCGCCAGTGGCCGGGGCGCTCTTACGGGCAGCCTTGGTGGCCAGCTGCTTCCTGGGGGCTTTGCCTCCTGTGGACTTACGAGCGGTCTGCTTGGTTCTTGCCATGGTTTAAGATTCTCTAATAAGGAGAAAAATGTGTCGGAGGCCGGAGACGAGCTGTTTTAAACCGAGTTAGCGGATACCGACCGGTGACGCTGCTTCAGACCTCTAGCCTCTGATTGGTGACAAAGCCGCGTCTGGAGCTCAGTCCCGCAGGGGGGAGCGAGCCCCTTCCTCGATCAGCGCTGCTCATTGGAGAAACGTTTTTCAAATCTCGGAGTGAAGCTGCGACTGGGGCCGCCCTCCTCTGCGCTGCTCGAAGCCTCTTTACTGGTTGGAGGGGCAGGAAAACGCGCGCACTCCGCGGACATATAATAGAGGGCATGTCCGCCTAGAGCACATTTCTCTCAGTCTCGACTCTAGAGATTAACCTACACCATGTCAGGAAGAGGCAAAACCGGCGGAAAAGCCAGAGCAAAGGCAAAGACCCGCTCCTCCCGTGCCGGGCTCCAGTTCCCAGTCGGTCGTGTCCACAGGCTGCTGCGTAAAGGAAACTATGCCCAGCGTGTTGGTGCCGGAGCCCCCGTCTACCTGGCGGCTGTGCTCGAGTACCTGACCGCTGAGATCCTGGAGTTGGCCGGTAACGCTGCCCGTGACAACAAGAAGACCCGTATCATCCCCCGTCACCTGCAGCTGGCTGTCCGCAACGACGAGGAGCTCAACAAGCTGCTCGGAGGAGTCACCATCGCTCAGGGAGGAGTGCTGCCCAACATCCAGGCTGTTCTCCTGCCCAAGAAGACCGAGAAGGCTGCCAAGAAGTAGATACCCAATACTGACCTCAACAAACACAAAGGCTCTTTTAAGAGCCACCACATCACAACTAAACAGCAAATTCTTATTATATGTGAAGTCAACTTTATACTGTTGATAATTTAAGCACGTTATTAAAACAACCTATAAATTTGATAAATGCTCCATCACCACATCTAAGAATAATTCATTTGGTTTAATACTTCTGCTTCATACCTTCAGAAACAGTCATAAACATGAATGAATGTAGGCTACTGTGTATTAGACATGATGGTTACAGTTACACACAAATATTTCTCATATTGCATTGAATTAGGCCTTCATCTTACACATTGTCTTGGATGCATGTCTTAAATGTGAATATCAAGTCCTGATTTGTTCAGTGGCAGACTCCTTAATAGAAGTTGTGGTGGCTCTTAATAGAGAATCACATTATAATTTAACTGTACCATTATTTTCTCTAGTTCTACATTTGATGTGTATTCTTTATTATCACATCTTGTCCTATATATACAATTAATCCAGATAAATTAATTGTCATCATTATCAAGTCGCTGTGGTTCAGTCTACCTTTGGGTCAGCAAAATAAAAAAGTAGCCTTTAACAAAGAGGTTGGATTTCTTTGTTATAGTGAGAAAAAGTGAAACATGAGGACTTAAGGTCTGAAAATAAATGCTCAGTATTTGTCAAAAGTTGTTTTCACTACACATTTTTTGGATGCATACATTTCTGAAACTCTAATATCAGGTTTGTCTATTTATGAAATAGTTATGAAATATGTCAACCCTTTAGAATCGGATTTGTTTGGAAAGGATTAAGGTCTTACTCATTCTGTGTCCTTAATAATTATTGTTCTAAATTCTGGTTTCCTTTCTGGTTGTTACGAAATATCTTAGCCTGAAACAAGGATTATATTCTGATTTGCTACAGTCCTGTTGATTTATTAGATTTATTACTTAAATAATGTAATTTGATATAATAAAGTGGAGAAGAATGAACATGGGTGGTAAGATTTTAAATGATAATTATTGAAAAAAGAAAATATCAGATAACTGTTGACAAATACAAAAGATTAAGTCAAAGTGGAAAGCTGCATTCTTTATGACATAGAGAGAAAGTAGGAGAGCTACACTGATGAGGTTTAATGTATATATGCTCTCTGTGAATTATATATTTCATATTGGACTTTAATTTTAATGTGACTGGTTGCATCACTATGTAATAGTAGGTCAGTTAGAGCACAACAATAAAGTCATCTATTTATTTATGTGTTTTAACAGCTTATTGCTAAGTAAATCTGTCTGTGTCCTTAATTATTATTTTTCTTTGCTTGTCTAGATTCTGGTTTCCTTTCTGGTTATGAAGATGTAGCCTAACGTGAAATAAGGATTATTTATAATCTGATTCACTTCCTTGGACTTCCTATTCATTCATCAGTTGCACACATGGATGTGAGCACATTCAACATTCAGAGGTGATTATAAACATAGATAATATGATTATAAATAGTATAATTGAGGACAGACTCTTTAGTGGAAGTTGTGGGGGCTCTTAAAAGAGCCTTTGATGCATTGAATGCTGGTGTGAAGATTTACTTCTTGGCCTTCTTGGCTGCAGTCTTCTTTGCTGCTGTTTTCTTTGTTGGAGTTTTCTTCACTGGAGTCTTCTTGACCACTTTCTTGGGAGCAGCCTTCTTGGGACTCTTAGCAGCAGGCTTTTTGGTTGCCTTCTTGACCGGGGTTTTCTTAGCTGCTACCTTCTTCGGGGACTTCTTGACTGCTACTTTCTTGACTGGAGTCTTCTTGGGTGTAGCTTTCTTTGCTGCGGGCTTCTTTGCCTTGGCTGGAGCTTTCTTTGCGACCTTCTTCGCTGCTGGTTTGGCGGCTTTGGGCTCTTTCTTTGCGAGCTTGAAAGATCCGGAGGCACCACTGCCTTTAGTCTGGGCCAAAGTTCCGTTTGTTACCAGCTTAACCACGGCGGAGTTGATGCGTTTGTTTGCCTTAACCACATCCACACCTTTAGCGGCCAGTGCCTTCTTGACGGCCGATAAGGACACACCTTTGCGCTCTTTGGACTCAGCCACAGCGCTGATGATGAGCGTCGGGAGGGGGGGTCCATCAGACTTGGGCTTGGGAGCCGCTTTCTTCTTCGGGGTTTTCACCACCGGGGCTGCTACTGCTGGAGCTTCTTCTGCCATGTTGATCTCTCAC